ATATATATATATATATATATTTCAGTTTTGGGTTGTGGTGAGCTATATTTTTGTAATTTGTTGAATTTTTTTATTTTAAATTAATTTATTTTATATTCTTAAATTATTTTGATATATTTTATATTAAAATAAAATTTAAAAAATATAAAACAAACTTTATCAATATCTCAAGCATCTTTTACATGTTTTTTTATTATTAATATAGATGTTTGTATATATTTTAATTAATTTTACAGTTTTGATATTAATAATTATATACATTTTTAATGTTTCTAAAAATATTTAAACTTATAATTATTAAAAAATTAATTTAAAATTTTCCTAGTTAAACTACCCCTTAAATTTCTTATACACGTCTCTTACTTGGAGGAGATGTTGATCAATTTAAACGTATAATTCTAGGACGAAGGGATCAATCAAATGGCCCATACCATCTTCTTTGGAGACATTTTCTCTTCAATCCAGCCCTACAGAAAAAGAACACTGACACCATGACATCAAACTTCACGAACCTATCCCATATAAGGGTTATGTTCGCCACATTTCTAGAACTTGACATCTCATTACTGTTCTGGCACTCCCATGAAATGAGAACCGTTTGTCAGGGTGTTTGGGAATATAATAATAATTATTTAAAATATTTTTATTTAAAAATATATTAAATTAATATTTTTTTATTTTTTAAAAAATATTTTTATATTACCATATCAAAAAAATTATATTAAAATAAATAATTTCTTTAAATTTTTTATTAAAAAATATTTTTAAATGTAAAAACAAATAACCAATATAATTTCTTTTAATTTTTTAATTTTTTTATTAAATTAACTAATTTCTTCTAATTAGTTACTCTCTTTACCCTTTTCTTCCTCCAATTCCCTTTACCAAAAATATCCTAATACCATTGTATATTGTTGATAGAAATTAACACCCTAACACGCTAACACACTAACAATTTATATATAGGTAAAATAACCAATATAATCAAAAGAATCTCAAGTTAAGTAGAAGAAAGAATTAAAATCTAGAATTAACTTGAAAAATAATTAAAACCTAACAAACAACATCTCCTAGACCTAATTTATATTACTTATAGATCTCAATTAGCTGGCCCAAAGTTCTAGATTGAGATCTCAATTTAATAGGATCTATTTATATATATATATATATAAAAAAGGAAACCTGACCCGAATAAGTATAGGATCCATCCGCCAAGCCGAGAACAATAATTGGCCCTGGCATGATCAATGCCATAAATAATTAAATTAATTAGATTTAAAATTAGTTAGCTAACTTGAAATGACATTAACCCATAATGTGGCCACCGGTTTTTAGCCCTGTGACTCACAACTGTCCTTCAGTTTTGTCCATAAATTGTGCTCGCACTGGTTCACATCTCCAAAACAACGTTGCTCTCTTCTACTTGTTAAAAGTTTATTGGTTTCTTTCCGAAACAATTTCACAACAATGGCTGGCAAAAGCAAGTTCTTGATCATTGGAGGCACTGGTTACATAGGAAAATTCATCGTGGAGGCAAGCGCAAAGGCCGGTCACCCCACTTTCGCTTTGGTTAGAAAGAGCACAGTCTCTGATCCTGTCAAAAGATAACTTGTCGAGAATTTCAAGAACTTCTGCCTCACTTTGATATATGTACGTAGCTGCACATATAAACTTCTTCTGCCATGTTTTTCTGCTGCTGTTTTCTTGGTTATTTGCAGAAAAAGAAATGTATAGACTGCGTTATACTCTGGAGGGCATTTGCAGGGAGATATCGACGGCCATGGCAATTTGGTCAAGGCAATTAAGCAGGTGGATGTGGTGATATCAGCAATTGGGAACATGCAAATAGCAGATCAAACCAAGATCATTGCTGCCGTTAAAGAAGCTGGCAATGTTAAGGTTGGTCCATTATCATATTTTACTTTCTGTTTCTGATCAAGTTATCCCGTTAAATTTAACCTTAGAACTGTGACATTGAAATATTTGCGTGAAGGGTAAATCAAGCGAGCTCAACTCTGTTCTTCAGTAGCTACTTCTACAGATGAAAGAGCAAGCCTCAAAAAGATCCTTAATTATTGTGTTGCTGTTAATTTTGCCCCCAACAAATCATTGTAAAGGCCCAAAAAAATTAATTTTACAATCGGGGCCTTCTATCAGAATTTATCAAAATAAAAAGTTAGTTTTAATACTAAAAGGTCATTTATTACAAATTTAAGATCAAATATTGATGACAAGATTTAATTTAGAATTTCGAAATGGGGATAAAATTGATATAAAAAATTGTATGTGGGCAAAATGGAGACTACCTACACAGTTTGGGGGCATTTTGGCAAAGAAAAAACTCAAATCACTGAATACTGTAATCATGTAGACTATTTTATTTCTCTTGTTGTTTTATCAATTAGTCTGGAAGATCATCCATGGGACATGGGATTTTTATTTTTTAATACCAATAACTGCGAAATCCTTGTGTGTATTGTGTTCAGAGATTTTTCCCTTCAGAATTTGGATTGGATGTGGATCATGTCAATGCTGTAGAGCCTGCAAAAACTGCACTCGCAATGAAGGCTCAAATTCGGCGTGCCATTGAGGCTGCGGGGATCCCCTACACTTATATGCCTTCCAACTGCGCTGCTGCATATTATGTCCCGACGTTGGCACAGTTTGGACTTACTGCTCCTCCTAGAGACAAAATCACTATCTTAGGAGACGGCAATGCCAAGGGTAATAAACAATATGCTGTAGTTAACTCACTCTGTGAAATATGAGATGGGAAACGAATTAGCCTCATGGTTCTAACATTTATTCTACTCCACCAGCTGTTTTCAATAAGGAAGATGATATTGTAACCTAAACCATCAAAGCAGTGGATGATTCTAGAACATTGAACAAGATTGTCCTAATCAAGCCTCCTAAGAACCTGTGGGAGAAAAAGATTGGATGATTCTAAATCAGATTTTTGCACAGCATCCGATTCCGATCAATATTGTTCTGTCAACCAACCACTCAGCCTTCATCAACGGTGACATGACCAACTTTGACATTGATCCATCATGGGGGGCTGAGGCCTCTGAGTTGTATCAAGATGTCAAATATACCACCGTGGAAGAGTACCTCGATCAGTTTGTCTGAGGCATTGACATCTCCTGCACTCCAGTTATCAATGAAGTAAACAGTCGAATAGTTAGAAATCTGGATGTATCTTGCAGATGAGTGTTTGTCGTAGTCAATGAGTTATCTTTCGGTGTAACCTTGTAAAATGTTGCTCTGCTCTGGTTAAATGCCATGGTTTGTATCTATTGATGGAAAAGATATATGATGAATATGAATATAAACAAAAATCTTTTCCACTTCTTTCTCTAGCTGAAACCGGCAATACGCTAGATAGATACTGAGAAAACCTGATTCTGAATGGAAGAAGAAGGGCTGGTCCCCATCCCATCCCAAATGGGTTTGCTTTCTATGATATTCATGAGAGATTTAACTCCATTGCTATCATTCCAAAAGAAAAATGATAATCTCCATTGCAATCTTTTCCTAAAAACTGACAGGTGAGCAAAATGAAGGCCATAATCAGCAGAGGCACCGATTGATAACGCTCCAGGCTAGCTAATTCTAATCACTCAAATAATTAATGTGCCTTAGTTTCTTCTTCTATTCTATAATCACCATCCAGCCAAAATTCAAAACATTTCTGATAACTACCTATCTATAACAAAGGAAGGATCCACAACATTGTGGGATTGATTTGTCATGTGCTGTTGGATGGGCATAATTTGCTAGTTTGCATGTGAAAAAATTAACATCAAAGGAAATTTCTTCATCCTCAGACATCATATCGCTCTATGGATCACCCAAAACGCTTTCTGGCACCTGGCATTCTTGAAAATTTGCACAAGTTCCTGCCTCTAGAGGTAGTTATAGTGTCAATTGAGTTAAAAGAAGTGGGGGAGAAAAAGGAAGATTAGACCGTCAGACATTGCCGCATTCAGTTCCTCTACCTATTAGACAGCTTCCATACATGAAACTATGAATCATCAATAGAAATTCTATTGTTCTACATTATTACCAAATTTTGAAGAGACTGCCTTTTGTTCTGTTCTCTAAGAAAGCTGTCGCCTCTGGATGACCAAATGAAAATTTGTCTACGATGGGAATAATTTCTGCCACTCTTTTTATTCTTTTATAAAACCTGATTTACAGCACATGGAAAATTTCTGATGCAATTGTTTCTATGGCACAGGTGTGTGTGTGTGTGTGTGTGTGTGTGTATACAAGTTCCGCCTTCAACTTTTACACTCGATTCTTTCGATGACAATCGAATAAGATTAGAGCCTCAAAGGAGTTTGTTTAAATAACCAAAGAATCTGAAATCAAACCTCCATAGCCACGAGAACAAGTCTGGTCACCAGCCTCATCCATTCTTAAGAACCCTTGTCAAAATAGCCTCTCGGATTCCAGAATCTGGCTCCGGGTCTGGAGCTGGTGTCGGCGCCTGCAAAATTGGTGCCATGGCTATTTCTTCTACTCTTGGTTGTTTCTCCAAGTTTCCCATCATTCTCCTAAGCTTCAGTAATCCTTCACTCTTCTCAACTGCAACATTTCAAGCAGAAGCACGCAAACTACTATCAGTACTACAATTAAAGAAATGAAGCTCAACAACTCACCTAACATGTACATGTCAAACAACTCTTACCATCATCCAAGTATGGTTTTGAAGATTCTGACAAGAGAACAAGCGTGGGGGTGACAATTGCGAGGAGAGCCCAGAAGAAGAAAATCACTAGAAAAATCCTCCCACTCATTTGTAGGGAATGAAAAGGGGCACAGTTCAATTCTATCTGAGAGTTTTATTCTAAACACGGAGAGAGTTTCCGTGCCTTCAATTAGCTGGCCATGTTTGAGAAACGTTGTCATTATAAAATTAATCGAAGCAGCAGTCCAATTTTTTATATGTTTTTGCCTTTAAATGTTGAAGTCAAGTAGTACCAAAAAACATATTCGAGGCGATTGTTATTATTCAGTTGTTGGAGAGTTGTTATACTAGTTGGTGCATGATTAGACGTATCCACCTGGCATCATTGGCATGGCCCGGTCAATACAATACGTGCTCAAGCCCGCTTCTGTACCTCACGCCCACTCATTCATTCTAACCCGTGTAGCCATGTAGCAGCCAGGTGATATCTGAGAATGATTATTGCTTGAAATATTCTATTATCAAAAATCATGAGGAACCTTCTTCCTTCGTGCTGGCTGTGGCTCTTCGCTGCTTAATGGATGATCCGCTGAGGAAACTTTAATCCATAGATGTTCATTTAATTCCAAACAGCAAGGAATGTTACTTAGAAATCTAGGAATAACTAGTAAATGTTAAAAAAATAAAGTAGGCGAGGTAAGAATATTCTTGTTATTTTTTATTGTCATGGGTTTTATTTATTATTTTTTATCTCTGTTTTTTTTTTAATAAATACAAAAGGTTATTAATAATATGTCAATGATTGCGCTAAGTACCATAAAATTTACCCCGAATGTGACCTCCAATCTGTCTGCATTTAATTAAACTGATTAATTTGGGAAATCATAAGAATTTCCCGAGCAACACCAGGACATGATGGATCCGTGAATCAAGATGAGCTACAAGAGACAAATTGGGGGACCATCTCGGTTTCGCCTTCGGCTGACATGCATGCGAGTCCAAAAACGCCTTAACCTGGTTCGATCCCTGTTTATGCTTTGGGTTAGGTTCGTGTCTGGCTTTTTATTGGATTGATAAAATGTTAATTTGAACCATTTTAAATTATTCCAAACAAGCTCTAGTTACATTACTCCACTGCTCTTTTATAACTCTTAAGTTAATTGAAGCTGATGCTTGTTTCAAAAATATACTTATCTTAAAAAAATATCAAATTAATATGATTTTAATGTACTAATATAAAAAAAAATTAAATTGTTTTGATGTAAATTTAAAAACCATCCTGTGCAACTAAGTAATAAATAAACACTGAATCCAAATACAAACAATTCATTCACAAAAGTCACCTCACCAGACATCAACGGTCACAAACAGTAGGCTTTTAAATGATATTCCTGCAAACTTCTAAAAATAATTATGAAAATTTAATTTAAAAACACGGTATCAAAAGAGATGGTCAGCAGAGGTGAAAGGAACAGGCGAGGAAGGAGGTGCGAAGTGTAATTTGAAAATTTTACAATTTTGGACTCATAGGTATAAACTGGTGTAACGACAAAATATATTTATCCGAAGTATGTACTTGAACTCCAACCAGGCCTCGCTATTGGTCTAGAATCATACAAGTGGGGTTGCTCTATCAATGTACATCTCAAACATCAATTTACTCAAACTGACAGTATAGACTTCTTCAAACACTAAAACTCGTCTTAAATCATACAAGTGGGATTGCTCTATCAATGTACAGCTCAAACATCAATTTACACAAACCGACAGTTTAGACTCCTTCAAATAGTAAACAAAATAGGGTGGTGTGGCTCATAATCTGCCCAATTTTATTCATTACAAAAATAGAATACCAGAAGTATGAAAGTACATCTCCAGTAAACTTAGAAAACGTGTGAATCCAATGCATGCTAGTGGCTGCTACAACTAAAATATAAGACAAAATGAAATTTTCAACACCTATGTTTTAGTTTTGCTTTTGTATTTTAAATTGACAGGCAAACCTTCTTAAAATTAAAAAGGCACGAAATTTGGAAGGCTGCAGGACATGTCATGGCTTAGTCCCTCATCAAGCCACTGCTGCTTGCACCAGACTTCTTCCTGCCATACCTCTGCAAAAAGACAGGGAAAGCAGTTGCTGCATTTTAACTAGAAAAAAAACGGAAACACCCAGAATTTCAAACCACCAATAGAATTACCATCACAGAAAGAGAACACAAAAGAGAGTGAAATAAGAGAGGGTGGGGGCAGGATGGTTACTAGAAAACTCTCCAAAGCTCATACCTGCTTTCCTCTGCTGAATGGAACATATTTGTACTTGATCATGTGCATGATTTGGCGCTTCATTGTGAGGACAAACAGAACAATCCAATAGCAGAGTAATATGGGCCAGAAAACGGGGACATCAAATACAGAGAAGAAGGTCATAAGGAAGGCCACACAAAAAGCCTTGGTGATGGCGTACCTGAAACCAGAACCAAAGTAACAAATCATTTTTGGGCTCAAGAATTCTTAGAAAATAAATATATGATCAGAGTACACGTTGTGAGGTGGATTCTGTTCACTCAATAACACCTTACAATGGGGCATTGTCAGAAGTAATGATGTTAGGCAGACAAATGAATCTTCTTCGTGACTTGCAAGATTTAGGCCCACAAGCCACTAAAGCCTACGAACAACATTATCCTTTTGTTAAGTAACCTATGATGTCTGTTGTTAAAGCTCTTTGTCATCTTTCTTCGTCAACTTGTTAAAAGAACCTTTTTTCCTATAAAGTTCCCTTCTAATGCCAGATATTAACAGTATAAATACTGGCTGAAAATAAACTGATGCCAAAGTATAATTTAAGCCAACAACGGCTGGCAAACAAAGATGTTACTACAGATCCATAGCCTCAAACATATTTTGGCAATGTGTGAAATGGCAAGCTTGAAAGTTGGCTCAGACCTTGTTTTTGTTGTTCACAAACTGGTTTCAACCCACTAAAATGCAAAATGGACTGTCCACATCCACTCCATGTTTTAATACCCTTTTGAAGTTCTTATCTTATACAGTATGCATATTACAAGTGTAGAAATCACGAGGCATTAAGGAAACCAACGCCATGAAACATGAAAGTATGCCTCTGAAATTATGACTGACATGTATAAGGCCAGCAAAATGCAATGCGCTAAATCTCTATGGAGAACAGGGTAGTCTTCTATCAAATTTCCTACCACACGGACAGATGAAAACAAAACCTCAGGTTTAACTTTTAGATTTGCTCTTTTTAGTCTAAACAGTATTTCTGATAACTTATGCTTCAATAATTAAAATTGACAATAGCAATCCTCATAATCAAAACCCATGCGGGGCAAAAAATCGACACCTGCTTAACAGGACAACTAAAGCCCATGGACAAATAGAAAATTTAGTGAAAAATAATAAAAGCAAAAACACCAAAAACAGGCTGGAGTACAAAGAGCATGGAAAATCAATTGCATAACCTAACCAGACATTACACCTAAGCACAAGCGAACATTCCAAAACAGGCAAAATCATCTACCAAGTTAAAAAATAAATTCTTGGTTACCAGAACTTAAACTCAGGAAGGCGCCGGATAAAGGGCTTGAACTCATCCGATCCTTTAGTTGGCAAAGAAGCATCATCCGTAATTTCAAGTTCAGGATCAACCTTGGGTGACAGAAACCCAATCAACAAATTCAAGATATAAATTCCAAGACCATATGAGATGATGTAAAACCCTTGAACAAAGTAAGCACGCAACACATAAATTGCTGCAACCGCAAGAGTTCCCAGCCACCTCTCTGTTGGGTGAGGTGTGGATCGGTCCAGATAGTACTGGAATGCCCGAGAGAAATCATTTCTCCACTTCGCAAGAGGTGCCACCACATTGGCCGCGTCACCCCCATTTCCTTCCATCAGTTATTATATTCTATTCTCCTGCACATCCAAAAACTAATCAGACATTTGACAAATCGGCATCAATTAGGGCTCAAGTTCATGAATTATCTTGAATTTAATCAGTTCAGTTATTTTCTCCTACCTGTGTTTTGAAAACCAAAACAACACAACTTTAATAACCAAAAGAAAATCAATATTCGCTAAGTTTCTTTCTTTTTTTAAAAAAATTTTGTAGGTAAATTATACTTTACAAATACACTCGTATACGACATGAACAAATCAAATATTAGGCAAAGAAATAATCAATCAAGGCTCAATGAATAAAATAATACAATAGCTCAACATTTCCTTTTACATGCTTTCCAGACAACCAAACAGAAATTAAGCAAAGAAAATTAAGAACCGTTAAGAGTTTATTTAAATTGAATAAGTGAATTACTATAAACAAACATAATAATAGCGTACAGAAAAAGAAATCTCGAAAGCTAACCTCTTGAGAGTTAGGGTTTTGAAACACAACCAGGATCCGATTAGCGATGATGATCTATGTATGTTGAAGCGATCTCTGATTCTGTTTGCCTCTCTTTCTCTGGATTTTTTTTAGCAGGAAATTCGTAGCGTAAAGTACGTTGAGCACCTGACCGATGAGGTTCTCTCCTGCGGGTTAAAGGCGCGCTCTGAATTAATCCATCAAAACGTGCCCTTTCTATGTCGTTTTAGGAAACCTTCGGTATAACTGTTTAGGCTTTTATGGGCCTCAAAGTGGCCAGCCCTGACGGGCTATCCAGGCTAACATAAAGCCCAGTACCAGTCCTCATAATGCTTTGTGACTTGTGTAGATGTTTTCAGATGGGTTGGTCTAGCTTACAAGCTTGAGCTAGGCTCTTACGGTGGTCGAGTTGGGTTGGAGCAACGAGCATCTGTAGAGTCTTTTATTATTATTATTTTTTAGTATTTTTCAATTTTCACTGCCATTATGCATAAATGAAAAGAAATTCGGTTAAGCAGTGGGCTTTGCTAGATGAAACATTACCTGTGTTCGAATTATGGCGATCACTTTGTTTGATATCTTGTTCTTTTGAAATTTAATTGTGGCTAAAGTTTCCATGCGGCCATTAGATGATCAGGTGGGTGCTTGCTCCAGAGTTCTTCGCAGCAAGCCAGAATTCAACCATTAGAGATGACTTTAAAAGGAGAAAGTACTGTACTGGACATTCACCAAAATGATTTTGATCCACAAAACTTGTTAAATGTTACGCTCGGTTGTTTTACATTCGATCCAAGTGATGATTTATTTGTATTTTTTCAAGAGTAATTAATGTTAAAAATAATATAGATTATACAACGATATTTAATAAATTAATTTTTTTATTTAAATGGGT